GCATGGGGCAATTAGGTACCCTCCCAAGCGCGGGACCAGCTAGGAAACCGTTAGGTGGCGAAAGCTGGGAAGCAGTAGTCTCTCATGGTACATAGGAGACTTCCAGACAATACATCCTCCAACAAAACAACCACCTGCACAGGCAGAACAGCAATAGCAATTACCAAGACACAGAATGAACTCCCCTACTCCCATGGCAGCATAGATGACACCCAGTCCCATGTGTGCCCCTTTTTGTGTACAGGACCGTTTACCGTGGGTACATGTGCAGAGGAAGAAGTGGAACCGGAGAAAACAGTCTTTTGGTGGTTCTTCCAGTTCTGGGATTTAGACCTTGTGGCCTGGGAGAGTCAGACTCCGAGTGCGAAATCTCTGGTAGCTTCTGATTCTGAGAAGGGACTTGCCCTGGACTTTCTCTGTTCTCTGGAGTTATGTGCACTGGGGTGAGGGTGGTGTTCCTAGTTGCTGAGATGCCTGTGTTGGTTTTTCTTTTACGGCAGAACAATCTTTTCTCCTGATTTCAAAAGATTTCCCCCTGCAGGGGTGGCGTGGCTCAGTTCTAGGTGCCACTGAACTACACGTAAAACCCAGACATTGTGATTTGGCATATAACACCACTATGAAGAAGAAGAGATTGGATTTATACCCCGCCCTTCACTACCCAAAGGTGTCTCAGAGGGGCTTACAAACTCCTTTCCCTCCCCCTCCCCACAACAGACACCCTGCGAGGCAGGTGGGGCTGAGTGACATAAACTGCTCTTTCTCAAGGACAGCTCTTATCAGAACTATGGCTTGCCCAAGGTCATCCAGCAGGTGCAAGTGGAGGAGTGGGGAATCAAACCTGGTTCTCCCAGATTAGAGTCCACACACTTAACCACTATACCAAACTGGCTCCTAGAAGGAGGGGGAGGGGATTGGATTCATACCCCGCCCTTCACTACCCAAGGGAGTCTCAGAGTGGCTTACAACCCCCTTCCCCTTCCCACGACAGACACCCTGTGAGGTAGGTGGGGCTGAGAGAGCTCTTGACAGAAACTGCTCTTTTTCAAGAACAGCTCTTATCAGAACTATGGCTTGCCCAAGGTCATCCAGCCAGGTGCAAGTGGAGGAGTGGGGAATTAAACCCAGTTCTCCCAGATTAGAGTCCGCACACTTAACCACGACACCAAACCATTCCTGGCCCAGAATGAATGCAGGAGCCGCAACAGAGGAGGCCCTGCCCACTTTCAGTAATGAGGAGAGTACGGGATATCAGTAGATCAGCTATAGTGTATCAAGTCCTGACAAGTCCAGACAAGTCCAGATATGTCCAGGGACAACCTTCGAGCTTCGCTCCAAGAGACAATGGACTATGTGGATTCAGCCCGCTCCAATCAGGGGGCTAGGTTCCTGGCCGAGAGCCAATGGAACTCTCAGCCACTGTAAATACCCTATTGGGAAGTGGGGGTGTGTTTTGGGTGGCGGTTTCTGGGGGAATATAAACCGGCCTGCGAGCCGGCCAAAGCTGTCTTGTTCCTGATCAAATAAAGTACGCTTTGCTGAAATCACTCTCCGTCTGCGTACTTTTCATCAGCAAAGGACAGGCAGGCCTAGATGGGGAACTGCCCCCAAAGATACATGCTTGAGTGATTGGGGGACCTGATCCAGAAGGCTCAGTGCACTCGGAGGTGTAGGTTTTACACTTGGTGCATCATGCCTGCCCTCTATAGGCTAGTATTAGGCACAGCAGCCTATTGGGCGGGGTGTGTGTGTCCATCTCTGGCATCTTGCTACCCACCCACCTCCATCGGACCATCTTTCCTTGGGAAAAGCTGTGCAAACAGACCCCAAACCTTTGGACAAGGAAGCGTGCTAGATGGTAGGAACCCTGCTAAGATGGATGCCGAGTGTCCACCTCCCAGTTCTGCAAAGCGTGCCGTGTGGCCGGGACGCTCCGGAAGGATCTTTGCAGTGGCCTGTTCTCTGTTCCAGAGAGTCCACCACCAATGTCCGGTCCCGGCCGTTTGGCGCCTGCAGCCCTTCAGTCCCGTCTCTGCCCCGTCCTTTCCAGGATGTTCACCGAGGCAACGGCGAGGATCTGCACCAGGAGCCCAGCCCGCATGGCCACCCGCACCCAGGAGAGGCACCCGCTGGCTCCTGCAAGAAGGGAACGGGGGGGGGGGCGTTAGGGCAGGGTGGGAGCAACACAGAGACAGTACACGTTGATGGGGTCCGAACTGACAGAGACTGACCAAGATCTTGGAGTCGTAGCAGATAACTCACTGAAAATGTCGAGACAGTGTGTGACTGCAATAAAGAAGGCCAATGCTATGCTGGGGATTATTAGGAAGGGTATTGAAAACAGATCAGCCAATATCATCATGCCCCTATATAAATCAATGGTGCGACCTCATTTGGAATACTGTTTGCAGTTCTGGTCACCACACCTTAAAAAGGATATTATAGCTTTGGAAAAAGTGCAGAAAAGGGCAACTCGAATGATAAAAGGGTTGGAACACTTTCCCTGTGATTCAGACATAGAATTCACTGCCACAGGAAGTGGTGGGTGCTACAAGCATGGACGGCTTCAAAAGGGAATTAGATAAGCATATGGAGCAGAGGTCCATCAGTGGCTCTTAGCCACAAGGTATAGATAGGGGCTCCGGGGCAAGGGATGCTCTGTCATCTTGGTGCTTGGGGGGGGGGCAACAGTGGGAGGGCTTCTAGTGTCCTGGCCCCACTGGTGGACCTCCTGAAGGCACCATTGGCCTGATCCAACTTTGGCTTCTCTTATGTTCTTATGGTGCACCGGCCAACACCCCATAACCTGACTTCCAGTGGGGGCAAAAACCACCTTCCCCCTTCGACGGGTGGTCTAAGGGCCCAAAGTCCCTCCTGGATCCCCCCCCCATCTCACGAGGCCTGCTGCCTCCCTCTCCCACGGGACTAGGAGGACTCTGAGCCCCCCCCCCCCTGTGTTCATCAAGATTCAGCACGACGAGCAGCCCTCCCCCAGGGGTGGGGGATTCTGCAACCTCCGACGCGAGAGGCGTTGCTTGCCACTAGAAGTCGAAGGTCCCCACCCCGGGGCGGGTGAGAAAGGTTTCCCCCGCCTCCCCGAGGTGGCGCCCGATTCTGGCGCCTGATGGCCTGGCGATGGCGCCGGACTCTTGGCCTCCCTACCGGCCCTTGCAAGGCCTCCTCTTGGGGGCTTGGGATCTCCAGGAGGCCTCCTCCCGGGAGAAGGGAAGGTGGCCGGAGGGCCCGCCCAGAAGACCCCTCGGGGCGGCCGGCTCAGGACCAGAGAGGAGCCCCGCCCCGCCCCGCCAGGGCTTCCTTCCAGGGCTGCTCCAGCCTGAATCCGGCACTAAGTGTTGGATGTTACAAGTTAAAACACTTCTATTTCAGTATTTACTGGGTTAATACTGTGTACTGAATCACATGTTTGTTTTGTATCCTATCTGTTTGGAGAGCTAGAAAGCCCTCCAACTTCAGATCTAGTTTGTTGTCCTGATTGGAGAATAGAGTGGCTAGTATTTAGCATTTTATGACTCTTTGTCCTGAGCAAGAAGAAGCTCCAGTCTCGTTCTGACTCCAATGGAGGAGTACTCTCCATTAGTCTGTCTAGCAGTGAGGATGTAGAAAGATAGCTCTTTGTTATTTTCCATCCCGTATACCTTTTCCCATGTTAGGTTGTAGTAAACTTTTTATATTTTAAAACACACCATGACTCTGACTCTTTAATACTCTGCTGATTAACTTTAAGAAATTAAAATACCGAATATCTAATACTAAGAGACTGCGGAGGGGGCTCCTCCTCCAAAATTCGGGAATGCCCTCGAGGGGCCGTCTCAGCTGGAAGAAGCAGCCCGTCCGTCCCGTCGGGCAACTTTTCCTTTGCAGAGAGACCCCCCCCCCGGGGCCGCCGCCCCCC